TGGCTTCTTCCCAGTTTCTGCCTCTGAATGCTTTTTTAACAATGCATTCAATGGCAGTGCTATTTTAGCATAATCTTTCACGTACTTTCTGTAAAAGTTTGTGAGGCCTAAAAATGAGCTTGCGAACCTGTTTTTGTGATTTAGGTATTGGGAAGGTTTTAATTGCTTCGACCTTTTTGTCATCAACTTGAACACCTCCACATGATAAAACATGACCCAGAAATGAAACCTTGTCTGTTGCAAAATTGCATTTTGATGGCTTTAGTGTTAAGTTTGCCTGTTTAAGATAGTAGAAGACTTGCTCCAAATGTTGGAGATGCTCTTCAAAGTTTTTGCTGTAGATTATCAAATCATCAATGTAAATCAATGCAACTTTGAAAAGCAATTTTCGTAGCACTTTGCTCATGAGTTGCTGAAAACAAAGTGGAGAATTAGACAAACCCTGTGGCAAACGTTTGAATTGATAAAGGCCTTGATGGGTGACAAAAGCAGTTTTATGCTTTGAGTCTTCGTGTAATGGCACTTGGAAGAAGCCATTGGCAAGATCTAGCGTGGAAAAAATTGTAGCTTGGCTATTGCCGATGTGATCAACAACATCGTCAAAAACAGGGAGTGGCCATGACATGGGTAATGTGACGGAATTTAATTTTCTGTAGTCACAAACAAATCTATATGTGCCGTCACGTTTTTTAACTAATCTCGATGGCACTTTTACTGGATGCTTGGATGCTTACCCTGGGCTATGATCTCAACGAGACTAATCTGATGTGTCAATTACAGGTGCTTGGATTACAATAGATTCATTTAATTGTCTGGTCATAACTCTGAATTACTGAAAGGATTGCTAACAGCTTGAATCCTCAGTACCTTAGGCTAGGATTTTTATCTTGAAATTGTGTCGCCGTAACTTATACCTTTTTCAATAATATGTCTGTGAGATGAGTTTTACAACTTTTGACTGGGGTCTTTCTAGATGATGGGGGCTGAATACATTGAAGTGGACTCCTCTATTAAATCATATTTGAGAAAATCTTCAACAAGTTCTTCTGTGACTTTTTGGAGATGAGGAGATTGACGATAAGGCCTACACTTAACAGGGGGATGGTTGCCCGTGTCAATGACATGCTCGTGCATGCCAGTTTTCCCTAAATCTGCAAGGCTTGTGGAAAACATGTCTCTGTTTTGTCCTAAAAACCTGAGTAGTCTTTGTTGTTGGCTTGACGTCAGTTGTGTCTTGGTCAAGTCAAATCCTAAGTCTTGAGCAATTTTGACGTAATCCCTAGTGTCATTGTCTGTTGTCCTAATGTCAGTGTTAACTGAATTTATTAAAGGTTGGTCACAGTCATTTTCAAAGATAGAGTGGCTGTCAATGTAACTAAATTTTCCTACAACTGTACCCATATCCTAAAACTTTTTTCTTCTTGGGAAGGATTCATAAGCCTAAATGTAGCAGTTTTCTTATGCACTTTTGAGAGGGTCCTACCACCTGCTACTTCAGAATGAGCAGTGAGGGAGGAAATTGGTTCAATGAGGATGAGGGAATCATTGTTTGCCTCAGGCAGTCTTACCTTGAAATGAATTTCACTCTGAGGGGGAATATATATCTGATCTATTGATTTTGCTAATCCCCAAATTTCTTGATCTGGATGGGCAATGAAATTGATATATTGCCTATCTGAGGTGCTGTTGCCTATTATGAGGGAATGGCAGCTATAATCTATGACTGCATCGTTGTCATTGAGGAAGTTCTCACCTAGTAGGACTGACTTAGGTAATGAGGGCAGGACATAGAATTTTTTGTGAAAATTCTTGATCTTCAATGACAAAATCTAACACAACTGAACCCAACACCTTGTGCAATTAAGCGCCAACACCTTGAATTTGTGGAAAGGGTGAGTTTCCAAGAACAGGGTTGTTGAAAGCTTTGTTTAGAAAAGCAGACGAAATGCAGCAAATGGATGCCCCCTGTATCTATTAAACAAGTAGTTGTTTCAGTGCCAAATGTTACCTGAATTACACTTTTGCCAAGGGGGGTAACTAAGGACACAGTTGGAATTTCACTTCCACAGTTACTTTCCATACCAGACTCCATATTGGCCATGACACCTTATAGTATGTACCGTGCTATAATTAAGAAAAGACAAGAAATCAACAATGTAAAGTAGTACTTACAATTTTTGAAGACTTTTTCTTCCTTGGTTGGTGTCTTTACAGGAGTTGGTGGTCCTTAATCCAGTGTTGAGATCAGACGTGGATGCAGTTGCTTGTTATTCCATGTGTTCTTGTAGCTGGTTGTAGTTAGTTCCTGGGCTCCGAGGTTCCGAAAATCGTTGATTCTCCGCCAACTATTATGATATGGGTCTTGGGTCCAAGTGATGGTTCGGTGAAACCCCTTATCTAACTGGCGTGCTGGTTTTGCTTGGGGAATTAGCTCAGCAAAGAGTCCGAAGTCACAAGAAGCTAATCACAATTTTATTTACAAGAACGGAGTAACATGGGCTGGCCACAGAGAGTCGGTACAACCCTCTGGGCTGAGGGCTAGAAGCTGACCTGTGTTAGGAGTCTAAACCCTACTGCTGGACAAATGCAGTTAGAGACATTTTATCTACTATCAAAACAATAAAGAGATTACGATTGGTTCACTGATACAAAAATGGGTGTAACCTACATTAGCCTATCAAATACAGAATATACAAAATGGGGTGTGTCCTTCAATGACCAGACAGGGCAATTACTCTTAATCCTGTTAATCCTATTTTAACTGGCACTAATCTCGATGGCACTTTTACTGGATGCTTGGATGCTTACCCTGGGCTATGATCTCAACGAGACTAATCTGATGTGTCAATTACAGGTGCTTGGATTACAATAGATTCATTTAATTGTCTGGTCATAACTCTGAATTACTGAAAGGATTGCTAACAGCTTGAATCCTCAGTACCTTAGGCTAGGATTTTTATCTTGAAATTGTGTCGCCGTAACTTATACCTTTTTCAATAATATGTCTGTGAGATGAGTTTTACAACTTTTGACTGGGGTCTTTCTCTAAGCTATTACTAATATTCTATATTTATATTTTCCTAATATCTGAATCCTAATATATTGCTTGTAGTGGTAATAATGAATAATGAATTTTGTATGAATTATTATTCCATGATACCTCACCAACCTCCATAAACTACTACAGGCACAACAGCTAAACGACATACAACACACACCTCCCATTACAAGCTACATTCACGACATACCCACACCCACCACAGACACCACCCTAGACAACATTCTCCAGCAGTTACCAAAAAACACCAACAAACCCACCATAACAAACATCACACACAACTATATCAACAATAACTACCCAACACACACCCATATATATACAGACGCTTCAATCAACCCAAACAAAACAACTGGTATAGGCATACATGTCCAACAACCCCACCCCCCATTACAACCAACCTGCACTATACAAACCACACCTCAATACACACAGCAGAACTAACAGCTATCCTCACTGCACTCCACCTAATACCCACCCTCCCACAATCTAACTTCTTAATTCTCTCCGACTCACTAAACTCCATTAGGCAAATACATATCAAGTACTCCAAATCTCGCCCTGACCTCATTCATAATAACACAATCCAAACCGACTCACTTAAACGAGCAAATAAAAACATAACTTTCACCTGGATACCAGGCCATTCAAACATAATAGGAAACGACACAGCAGATACAGCAGCCAAATTAGCAACAACACAAAAATCACCAAATATAAACTTTCATACATCCAAAACAGAAACTAAACTCATTAAATCAAATATTCTTCATACTGACTTTCAACATAACATAAACAACAACAAATCAACATGGGTTACTTCCATTATAAAATCACCCTTAAGGAAAATCCCTACATTCTCAAACATTAAAAATATTGACTCGGCCATAAACAGACTCATCACAGGCATCACAAACCTCAACCACACACTCTACAAACAAAATAGACATGCAGATGGACTATGCACACACTGTAATACCCAAGAAGACATAGATCACATACTCATACACTGCCAGCTACAAAAGACAAACATTAAGCAACTACAAAACAGCATTCCCTCTAAATATCACAATAACATCCCACTACTCCTCAACCCACACAACCCAACAAGTATCTTCAACGCCCTAACAGTATTCCTACAAAACTCAAATCTTCTAAAAAGAATCTAAAACTCATTAAATAAACTACAGCCACCTCTCTCACCTCCCACTCACTGCAACATTCAGGCCAGCCGTTCTAACCTCAGTTATCCCCACCTACAACTTTAGACACGGCTCTCAATTTCATTTATCCATTCTCTGCACACGCCACGCTCGCTCTCCTCTCTCGCTAAATGTAAACAACCCGTCACAAGCCCACACTGCCAAGGTCAAGGTCACTCGCCAGCCAGCTAACTACCACCGCTCGTCCCTCAACCCGGCCTCTGCCTCATTGCGCCTCCCTTGCTCCCCTCAGCCCACCCCACCCCCACCCCCCTCTCCCCTCAACTTAACACCTTTTATTATTCATTCCTTATATAGCCCCTTATATAACTTATGCAGCTTAACTGCATCCAATATCTGCCCTATGCTATACATCCTTGGTAGAACTCACCCCCGCATTCCCCCACCCCGCCCCCTCTTATATCACCTATCGTTTATTTCAACTCTATTTCTTACTTATTAACAATCACTATTCCTATTTATAACTTCTTTCTCCTTTTTAACTTGGCTTTTTATTATTTTTATCTCTATTTATGTTTATAAACGTTTTTTATTCCAAATTCAACTTAGGTTTAACGCCCCAGCATTTATATTTTTTTGGGTAAGGTGGTTTATCCCTTATTAACATTTATTATTTATTATATTAGCTCCCACCTACCCCGTCGGCGAAATTGGCTTACGCCAGAAGCCGACGTTAAACATCCAATTTCGTCGTCGGACGTATCGTGCTAGGTGGCGACCTGTGACAAATATTCTTTATGCAATTTGTTTCACATTAAACATTGTGTCGGAGCCTGAAGATCGAGGCGACGAAAGCCGAGATGCCATTTAACTTGCATGACATGATCGCACGGAATGATGGAAATAGTAAGAAACGTAGATGTACGTTTGACAACTTTTATGAAAACTGTAGATTTTACTCATTAGTTTCTTCAATTTTAATGATTTCCTCGAAACATCGATACTTTCAAATTGCTCTTTGACAATTTTTTAAGTGGACCCGTAGCCAATCACTTGGAAGGACTTCCGCCCAATCCCCACCCACCACCACCCATATTACCTGAATACCTATTATTACATATATATCTTTTTCCTCACCATTAACATTTAGGGGGTACACGGGCGGAAGTCTTTCCTACGGTGTTGAATGGATTAAAGTTGAACAAATAATTGAAATATTACCGGTATGCTGGTAATACCGTGCAGTCGTAATGTACATTCCAGAGAACGTTCACAAACAATGTGGCGTAACGCGACACGTATGGAAATACGCCTTCTGTTTTCTAGCACCAGACGCAAATTAGAATCCAAGCAGAGAGAGAATGGGATCCACACTCCGAACTACTGATGCTAGATGTCTCAATGAACAGTTTGTGTCCGTATGAGTTACTAGCATTGTGGTAATATCACATTACAAAGAAAGGATAATAGTTTAGCATCCCTTGGCGTGAATGGGTTGCAAATAGTTTACATACAGACATTTTAGCCAGAACTATAGTGTTCTATACAAAAGGTATGGTATCAATATATGTATTACATATGCGCGGTTGGTCAACACCAAATTATAGTCCATTTATATATTTATGCACACACATTGAAAATAGTTCGCATCTAAAATTCTCTATTCAGAGATCACTTGTACCCCAGGAACATAACTTTCAAGCACAACTTTAATTAGATTTGCAGTGTATGTTGTTTAATATCATTACATGTATCTCATGGCATTGTTGGCATATATGACATTCTGTCTTCGTCTTGTCAGTTACATTTACACAGGAATACCTGTGTGTATCCTCCTGCTATTGCACAGAATGGAGTCACAACGTTAGCCAAAGGGCCATATTGACAGGTTAGGTGCTGACATATATTGTCATGCTACATTCACCTGTGGTCCCGATGTGACTTTAGTTGTCATCATCACGTGCAGTGTTGTTGTAAGTTGTCTCCCCCTTATTTGCATCTTCATTAAGATGCTGCTGTTGACCAACTGTGTTGTAGTAGGTGGCATCCCGTGGTTGGGTATCTGCATTCACCGCATGTGGAGAATCAGTCTTCATCCCCTCCACACTGTTGACGTACTGCCTCTCCACCTGACTATACTGGTGCTCCATGTCCTCGTAGTGGGACGGGCACGTGTAAATGTTCGGTGGGCTCGTGCTGGCTTCTGTAATATCGATATTTATGACACCCTGAACTTTTTTAAACATTTATTAATCGACTAATTCTCTAGAAGTTATTTCCACTTAATCATTTCCAAGAACTGACTCTACCGTAAACAATAGTGATGGGTTGTAGTCCGTAAACAATAGTGATGGGTTGTAGTCCGTAAACAATAGTGATGGCTTGTAGTCCGTAAACAATACTGATGGGTTGTAGTCCGTAAACAATAGTGATCGGTAGTATTCCTTCAGCAATAGTGATCGGTTGTAGTCCGTAAACAATAGTGATTGGTAGTAGTCCGTAAGGAATAGTGATGGGTTGTAGTCCGTAAACAATAGTGATGGGTTGTAGTCCGTAAACAATAGTGATGGGTTGTAGTCCGTAAACAATAGTGATCGGTTGTAGTCCGTCCGTAAACAATAGTGCAATAGTGATGATGGTTGTAGTCCGTAAACAATAGTGATCGGTAGTAGTCCGTAAACAATAGTGATGGGTTGTAGTCCGTAAACAATAGTGATGGGTTGTAGTCCGTAAACAATAGTGATGGGTTGTAGTCCGTAAACAATAGTGATGGGTTGTAGTCCGTGATGGGTTGTAGTCCGTAAACAATAGTGATGGGTTGTAGTCCGTAAACAATAGTGATGGGTTGTAGTCCGTAAACAATAGTGATGGGTTGTAGTCCGGAAACAATAGTGATGTGATGTTGTAGTCCGTAAACAATAGTGATGGGTTGTAGTCCATAAACAATAGTGATGGGTTGTAGTCCGTAAACAATAGTGATGGGTTGTAGTCCGTAAACAATAGTGATGGGTTGTAGTCCATAAACAATAGTGATGGGTTTTAGTCCGTAAACAATAGTGATGGGTTGTAGTCCGTAAGCAATAGTGATGGGTTGTAGTCCGTAAACAATAGTGATGGGTTGTAAATAATAGTGATGGGTTGTAGTCCATAAATAATAGTGATGGGTTGTAGTTCGGAAACATTAGTAAAGGGTTGTAGTCCGTAAACAATAGTGATGGGTTGTAGTCCGGAAACAATAGTGATGGGTTGTAGTCCATAAATAATAGTGATGGGTTGTAGTCTGTAAACAATAGTGATGGGTTTTAGTCCGTAAACAATAGTGATGGGTTGTAGTCCGTAAACAATAGTGATGGGTTGTAGTCCATAAATAATAGTGATGGGTTGTAGTCCATAAATAATAGTGATGGGTTGTAGTCCGTAAACAATAGTGATGGGTTGTAGTCCGTAAACAATAGTGATGGGTTGTAGTCCGTAAGCAATAGTGATGGGTTGTAGTCCATAAATAATAGTGATGGGTTGTAGTCCATAAATAATAGTGATGGGTTGTAGTCTGTAAACAATAGTGATGGGTTTTAGTCCGTAAACAATAGTGATGGGTTTTAGTCCGTAAACAATAGTGATGGGTTGTAGTCCGTAAACAATAGTGATGGGTTGTAGTCCGTAAACAATAGTGATGGGTTGTAGTCCATAAACAATAGTGATGGGTTGTAGTCTGTAAACAATAGTGATGGGTTTTAGTCCGTAAACAATAGTGATGGGTTGTAGTTCGTAAGCAATAGTGATGGGTTGTAGTCCATAAATATTAGTGATGGGTTGTAGTCCATAAACAATAGTGATGGGTTGTAGTCAATAGTGATGGGTTGTAGTCTGTAAACAATAGTGATGGGTTTTAGTCCGTAAACAATAGTGATGGGTTGTAGTTCGTAAGCAATAGTGATGGGTTGTAGTCCATAAATAATAGTGATGGGTTGTAGTCCATAAATAATAGTGATGGGTTGTAGTCTGTAAACAATAGTGATGGGTTTTAGTCCGTAAACAATAGTGATGGGTTTTAGTCCGTAAACAATAGTGATGGGTTGTAGTCCGGAAACAATAGTGATGGGTTGTAGTCCGTAAGCATTAGTGATCAGTCCGTAAGCAGTATTGATCGGTTGCAATTCGTAAGCAATAGTGATGGGTTGTCTTGGACTACTGTGTCAAGTGATTATGCACAGACGATCTTTCATTATTATCAACATCAAGGCTACCGACGGACACCATTTCCAGGTTTTCTAACGTGTTGTAGTCATCGGTGTCTGACACAGCCAGAATATATCCTACCTGCATTTCTGTGTCTCCTCCTCATCCACACGACGACGACGACGACGGTAAGGACGCAGCCAACAACAGCTCCGCCCACTGCTGCTCCTACCGCGACGGAGACGACATCTGAGGAATCTTTTCCTTTTGAACAGAATAACAATACATTCATTACGTACTTGTTTACATTGTGACTTTTTGGTGCAGTTCAATCTATGTTTTAGCCTACAATTGACATGCGATCCGTGCTATTAGATTTGCGCAAGGGACAGGCTGCAATCTGCTGAAATTATGTATTTATTTATTTATTTTACCCCAAATATATCATTTTAACAGAATTCACAACAGGATAAATCCTGTAAGCTGGTCACTCTTCGACTATTCTTCTACGAGTGAGTGAGTGAATGTGTTCAGTGTTACGCCGCACAGTAATATTCCAGCTATATGGCGGCGGACTATAAATAATCGTGTCTGGACCAGACAATCCAGTGATCAACAGCATGATCATCGATTTAAGCAATTGGGAACCGATGACATGTGTCAACGAAGTCGGCAAGCCTGTCCACCCAATCACGTTTGTTGCCTCTTACGACAAGCATGGGTTATTGAAGACGAATTCTAGCCCGGATCCTCACGGGTTATTCTACTTCGAGAATCATTGACACCATGGTATCGTGTTTTTCATCAACAGCAACATGGACATAGATTGAAACAAATCACCTGTAGAGATAACTGTCAGCATAAGCTAATATATATATTCAAAGAATTTTCCTTAGTATAAACATATTGATTGATTGAGTTTAGTTTTACGCCGTACTCAGCAATATTCCAGCTGTATGGCGCAATATAAAACAAATAAATGGTTCCATTAACCATGCTACTGTTTGTGTTGGGTGTTTGTTTGCGTAATAGGTCTGTTTCATGTCGTAATATGTAACAATTTATGTGGTATTATGTTCTTCATCAACAACACACTACATGGCTGCAATATTGTCGAGGCGATGTAAAGTTTCAACTCACTCACTCATCAACAACAACATGGACATAAACTGAAACATATCAGCTGTAGTGATAACTCTCCACATGAGTATATACAACTCTCATAGTCGCGATATGGTTGAAATACTGCCGATATGACAGGTAACACACTCACTCATCAACAACAACTTGGACATAAACTGAAACATATCAGCTGTAGTGATAACTCTCCACATGAGTATATTCAACTCTCATAGTCACGATATGGCTGAAATACTGCCGATATGACTGTTAACTCACTCACTGGCTCATCATAAGGTACCATACATGTTCAATGCGTTTTCCTTGATACTAAACATTTAAACAAAGAATGCCTTCGTTCCGAAAGTAGAATTTTACCCTGCTACTGTTTGTGGTCTGTTTCTGTGTACGGAGTATGTTTAATGCCATAACATGTTATAATTAATGCAGTTTGTCATTGTGCACATATGTGATGTCACATGATTGTGATGATAAGGATATGTGGTCTGCATGGAACTATAATACAGTTACATTTCAGCGATATTTCCTGGTAGATATCGCTTGATGTTACCGTGTCATACTTACAGTGGAATTTTAGATGATAAACTATTGTGGCTCTTATGAATCAGAATTATACTTCATGGCATCTCACCCCCTCCTTGAAGAACCGTGCTTGAAGGGACATCGGACATCGGCGATGTACCTGTTGCTGTGGTAGTAGTTGTATCAGCTGTAGTAGTTGTAGTGGCGGCAGTCGTTGTTGTTGAGGGCATAAGGTTACTTATGTCTGGAAAAATAAGTCATTTGAATTATGTGACCGACTCCGTGGTGTAGTGGTTAGAGCGTCTGCCCGGAGACCGGAAGGTCGCGGCTTCGATCCCCGACCGCGTCATACCAAAAGACGTTAAAATATGGTACTTGTTGGTCCCTGCCTGGCGCTCGCTATTAATGGGTACAACAAGGACCGATCGGCTCGGAGTCAGTATAATGTGTCTGAGTGGGGTATTCATGCTTCACTGCGGCATGGTATCTCAGTGGGCTAGCACCATAAAACCAGCTTAAGTCTGGGCTAGTACAAGCAGCCGCACATACACATACACACGCATGCACGTCGTCACATGAGCGAAATATTCTCAAGCACGACGTTAAACCCAATTTCACCTCACCTCACCTCATTTGTATTATGTCGATAAATCTTGCTTTGATAGACAGAAGGACTAGGCGGCAGCATAGAAGACATATGTGCATTTCCTCAAATGCATGTTTAACAACGGATCCTCAATGCCAACGGTATCATATCTACGAGTATAGTTACGTACAGGTGAAACTTTGATGAAGCTTCAGCTTCGGATAAACATGATTAAAACGGTCCAAATATTTTAACGTTTTGAGTGAGTGATTGAGTTTAGGTTTACGCCGCATTCAGCAAAATTCCAGCTATATGGCGGCGGTCTGTAAATAATCGAGTCTTGACCAGACAATCCAGTGATCAACAGCATGAGCATCGATCTGCGCAATGGGGAACCGATGACATGTGTCAACCAAGTCAGCGAGCTTGACCACCCGATCCCGTTAATCGCCACTTACGACAAGCATGGATTACTGAAGGCTCATTCTAATCCGTACCTTAACAGGTCTTGAACGTTTTTGAACTTCAAAAAACAGCCTTCAACAGTAATATACTATGAAATGAAGTAGAGATATGTTCGGAGGTTAGACATCGTATGAAATATCGGGCAGTGGAAAATCTTTTCGTGACAAGAAAATCAAGTATATGACAAATATTACGGATGTCAACTTCTTCTTTATTCCATGCACAACGTTTCTGGGCTTTTCCTTGCCCCTTCGTCACATATACCAACATCTATATGCCTCTCAAGAACCTCACAGGAAAACCAAGTTCCCAAACATTGTGACAGACATGGCGGACGTGACCTCGAATAACACCTGCTGGGCAGCTAGGCAAGACCGTCCCTCAGACTTGGGTGTTACCGGATGTCCACTCTTATCTTGTAACCACACGTGGAACACATCTAAACCTTAAGGAAGCAACAATCTGGACGCTTGCTACACGTGTAACATTTACATTGCATTGTTCCTGTTTGGCACACATTAAACCCATTACTTCGAAGATTGCCGCCACTCTGGACCCCCAACTAACGGGTTACTGCACGTCATGTGAATCGGGGATGGCGTTAACGAGCGTTATCCGCGCTGAGATGATTCCATGATTTCTGACGAGTCGATGTTCACTCCCGAGGAATCGAGTTCTGATTAGCATTAACTTTGGACATCATAATGGTGTTTGAGGTGGGTCGGATGGAAGGGTATAAGAGGACTGGCCGAAGTGGCTCCATGTTGTCAGAGCCAGAGGTGATTACTGTCAGGATGACATCATTGATCTCCGTAACGGGCGACTAACGGGATCGGGTGGTCAGGCTTGCTGACTTGGTTCACACATGTCATCGGTTCCCAATTGCGCAGATCGATGCTGATGCTGTTGATCACTAGATTGTTTGGTCCAGACTCGATTACCTACAGCCATATACCTAGAATATTGAGTGCGGCGTTAAACAACAAACCAACCAGCCGACCCTCTCTTACATCATCACCCTTTCCTACACCATCACCCTAATCTTCACCATCACTCTCACTTGATTTTTTTTACAGACCGCCGCCATATAGCTGGAATATTGCTGAATGCGGCGTAACAGTAGACTCACTCACTGATGATCTCAATTGTATGTCCTGTTTGGCATCGTTATATCCTTCAAGAAAATAATGCAGGTACACAGTGTGCATCTGTGCAAGTGGACTAGAGCAATTGTATGGTGATTGTAAAGTTGATTGTAGGGGCCTAAGATTGATTGTAACTAAGATTGTTCTGTGCAAGAGGGCCCTGGTGTAACCTCATCACATCATACACAGAACCAAACCGACCTCATCACACCATACACAGAACCCATCAGACCTCATCACACCACACACATAACCCATCAGACCTCATCACACCACACACAGAACCCATCAGACCTCATCACACCACACACATAACCCATCAGACCTCATCACACCACACACAGAACCCATCACACCTCATCACACCACACACATAACCCATCAGACCTCATCACACCACACACAGAACCCATCACACCTCATCACGCCATGCACTGAACCCATCACACCTCATCACACCATACACAGAACCCATCAGACCTCATCACACCATACACAGAACCCATCAGACCTCATCACACCATACACAGAACCAAACCGACCTCATCACACCATACACAGAACCCATCAGACCTCATCACAACATGCACAGAACCCATCAGACCTCATCACGCCATGCACTGAACCCATCAGACCTCATCACACCATGCACTGAACCCATCAGACCTCATCACAACATGCACAGAACCCATCAGACCTCATCACGCCATGCACTGAACCCATCAGTCCTCATCACACCACACACAGAACCAAACCGACCTCATCACACCATACACAGAACCCATCAGACCTCATCACAACATGCACAGAACCCATCAGACCTCATCACACCATACACAGAACCCATCAGACTCCATCACACCATACACAGAACCCATCAGACCTCATCACGCCATGCACTGAACCCATCATACCTCATCGCCTTCTCTCCTCATCATCGTTTCCATTTGCCAATTCCATAAGGATCAGAGTATGTATCTTGATGATTCCCAATATTCACCTCACTGTGGGTAGATTATACAATCATCATGTTCAAGTATAATTTTAGACAGTATTCACAATAGAGGAATTGTAGGCTCAACTACATTTTTTCAACATTTCTGTTATACCTTTATTATCAGAGAGCCGGTATGTTTAGTAAATTAAGGCCATTCGACCCAAAGTTATAGTCCGTTTGCAGTGGAAACGTACCGATGAATTTCACTTTAAACATAAAAGTAAATAAAAAAAAGTGAAATTTTGATTGTGAATCCTCATAACGTTACCTTGCCAATTAATCATTAAAATCTCAGAATTTTATTCAACTTAGGATAAAAGTTGTTTAACAAACGTTTAACGATCATAGGTTCAAATGGCTATTATTGGTTTGTATTACATTTCCCTCGCTTGTCCACCACTTGAAATCACTAATGCACAGATTCAACAGCTTGAGAGATTTGTTGTGCTGCTGTATGACAGAGCAAGCAACCTCATGAAAGTGAATGAAGCAAGAAAGCATTTGTTCCCCGCGAAGGGAGAACACTGGACAATATTCCACCTACAGAATCAGCTTTGATCCAACATATAAAGAGAGCTGTAAATCAGGGGAGTTATGTTTGGGAGCAATCCCTGGTGAAATCAGGAGTTACCAAGCCCTCTGCATAGGATTGGCAATAACTCTAGGGGAGAGCTTGGACCCATATGGACAACTCATCTGTTGGCATGAAAGGCCTGCCAGAAATTGCTGAAATGCATGTGTAAAAGTGTTCAAACTGGTTCCAAGTGCGTAAAAGCATCTTTCAAGTGCACTGCACTTTTCTGATTCAGTCAAGCTAGATACAATTACACATGATTGAGTGACCTTCCATAGAATGATGAGATAGCTACTTTGACATTGATGTTGTGTTGATTTTGATATGATTTTACAGGTGATCTACACCCAACCAAACTCATACATTATACATGTAAGAAAATCTAATGGAATATTTCTTCAAATTAACGTTCATCTGGTTCTCACAATATTCTTGACACATAATTTCTGAGGATTTAAAATTGAGTTAAAATAATATTTTTTGGACAATTCAATGTTTTCCCACTACCCCCCGCAAACAAAAAGTGGCCAAAATCTGCAAGGCTTTTCATATTTGATCTCATACTTATTTTACTGATGTAGTTTATGTGGCGGCTATTTCGAAAAATGGCCGCCAATTTTCCCATTTTCGTGTAGTCCTAACCGTAGAACTAACCGTTAAAGATAAAAAGACATGATCAGGTATGAATTTCCAAAAACGTGATATATGACTGATGAGAATTGGAGAATGTTTTAAAAAGTTATGACGAAAATAGTAGAAAAATTGATTTTTTTGTCAAAAAACTTTATGGAAAATATAAAACTTCTGCGAGGCCTCTCGATCTTTATTCAATTAGAAAGGTATAAGCTACAATCATGCCAAATTTCATGCTTGTAACACAAAGTGCACAATTTGATCACTTATCGGCTGGGCTAAATGGAGACAACCGACAGAAAAATATTTGCTGTAAATGTGCAAAACATCATATTGTTTAGTAGCACAGAGCATATCAAGTGAAAACTTGATACCGTTTTCGTTTAATTCATCATATAATGTTTTGTCTTCTTGCTTGTGCATATCTTGAACATTACATGGCGTACACTGTCGGATATATCACAAACCTGATAAATTCCTTTGGTATCATCTCTCAGACCTGATAATTTCCTTTGGTATCATCTGTCAGACCTGATAATTTCCTTTGGTATCATCTGTCAGACAGCTGTTCCCTTCTTACATTTTGAACACCGAGGGAATTTAAACTACTTCTAAACTTTAACCATGATCTCTTAGTGATACAGTGAAGATATGTTTTACAATGATTTGAAAGTCGCATAGTCGACAACTGTTTTGTTTTTCTCAAAAGCTTCCGTTTACCAGTTTAGTCCAAAACAAGCAAAAACACTTCGTTTTAGAATAGTGAGCAGCAATTCCTGATCTCCAATACAATAGGGACCACGTCATATGACATCCATTCTGTACCAAATCCCAATGTACATAATAGATCTTTGATGTGTAAGGTCCAATTGGGTTTCCTTCTATTACCGGCATTTCCCAACATTTGGTAACAATGATATGGACATCTCTGTCTTAGCATACAGCATTTCATCTAGTTTTATACAATTAACAGATTTCAAAGGGAATCTGCAACACCCCCCATATGCAACTGCGCTCGATAACATATACGAAACAACAAGGCTAAATTTACTAAATTTTTTGTGTACACACAATTTCACGTTCAGTAAAGCCCCATATTTTGCATCCATTAGTACGTTTCGACAATTTTCTTGTCATATTTATAATTGCTACATTAATTTAAATAAAGAACTCGAATGTATATATACATACCAGTCTTTCGAAACAGCACAGTATACACCTAACATTTCAACAGGTAGATTAGTTGATTGTTTAGGCTTCTTCCACTTACAGTCGTATTTAATGATATATGTATAGTCAATACACGTTTATCAATAGCGTATTAGTTTGCTTCAACACAACACTGATTATTTACATAAACAAAGCACAGCATACTCACGTATCGTCCATCTGTTGCTCTCCAGACTATCCTGACTATCCACGCACCGCCAGACAGATCCATTATCTATGGAAGTGTTGACCCTGAGAGTCACATTGTGCAGGTTGTAACTACAGCTGACATTGACACGTCCTGACAGATACTCCCTATATCTGTCATTGTTGGATATATCTAGTGTACATTGTGTGTCTGACACGTAACGTGTATGGAAGATTACATCATCCCTCCAGTACCAGGCTCTACTCCTGCCACCGCTACCACTACTGCTACACATCAAGGTGTACGGCTGGCCTGGTGATGCTGTTGATGGAGAACTTGTCAGCAGCAGGGTGGAGGAACCTGTTACAAAGTACAAGTGTGAGCTGAACAGTATCTTTTCAAGTCTTTGCTTCATTCTTCCTGAACACAATCATGGTTTGTTTGAACCCACGCACCAATGTATGAATGGGGCTGACGCGTGGAATGTGTCTCGTCAATGTAGTTTTGTACTATCTTGGTCGTAATGTAGGCTCAAAGTCTGATACCGCCAACATAATGTATCGTATACACAGGACTTAAGGTGGTTTGTCTTAAGGACATTGAAACATTCTCCATTTTACAACGTCTTCGGTAAACTATACTAAACTTCCATATACTTAACCAAACGCAAGTGGCAGTTGCAAAATTATCCATCAGTGTGAAGGCTTGAGAGACAGAAGTTTCTTAAATGTTTCAAAGGGATTGAAAGCACGATTGGAAGAAATAATTAGATAAATATGTCAATGTTGACTAAGCAATGAAACGGTTCTTTGATTTAGAACCATCTTATCGCTATGGAAAAAGTCTGGTGAACAAAACATCACCAACATTCCTTGTGATTAATGGCGGGATGGTACAGACAGCTACATGAGCACGATGTACCTCAACTCACCTTGTGTATGTGTAGTGAACACGCACGCCGACAGTACAATTGTAAGAGAAACATCCATGTCAACAAACACAGGAGATACCATCTTGTATGCTTGCTGTAAATATGGTCCTCTCATGCCCGTATACAGGGTTATCCCTCCAGAATGCTACCGCAATTCTCAAACACAGGTATCTGTTATCCATCGACTGGTACCCGACTCGTGTAGGCTGTGTTCGCCAATGACACAAACTTGTGTCGTTATTATGCTGTAACACTGAATACTCCTTCACACTTGTCAACCCACATACTCGTTCTGCGCCTGATAATATATATAATAATAACTACACTTGAACTACACATTAAAGTGTTTGTTGTTAGACCAGGAAGTAATATCGTCAGTTCACAATCCCTTCAAGCGACCTAAATACACACACAACAACAACAGACCGATCCAGTCCCGGACGATAAGCCCCGCGCACTTCGTTTTTGACGTTAGGGGGGACAACCACTGATTAATCACAATGGCGTCACCGCCAGCGAAACGTGCGTGATTGAGAACGTTGTTGATGACTTCTGCTTGTGGTAATTTGGTATCCGCCGTTGGTGAATGATATCTTAAGAGGAAAGTTACACGTACTAGATTTTTAATATATTTTAGTTTACAGATTGTAACTGGCGAGTGAAAATCAGTTATACATGCCCGATGAAAAATCGTCTCGGACAGCTGCTGAGAATAGGAAGCGTATTTTCTTTCGAACCAGTTAATCTATCTGGCAATTCACCTCCGTCAAAGATATTAGCAGGGAAAGGGGAACTGAATTTTGTTGTTTCTTATTTTTTCAAAAAGTCCCATTGTAATTTTATAAAAACTGTGAACACAACCACATGTTCAAGTTGCAGATCGTTTCGGTATCTATATATAGATTGTCAACACTGCGCGTGGCGTCTTTATATATTTATCCGTTGGTCAAAGTTAGTTAAATCAATAATCTGAAAACATGAGTTTCTATCTTTTAATGAATTAAAAGAATGGTAAATAAAAACAAAGCAGAAATATTTCCCGTCTACTACTTCGTGCACCTAATTTGACTGTATATATTAATGTAAACAAATCGATCACAGCACATATTTGATCTTATTTGGGAATCTAGAAAAGGTGATTGGGCTTGTAAACAGTATGTTTCCATGGATGTATCTGGACATACCCAGAAGCAAATATTCAGCAGCTGATCTGCAGCAAATTCTCAGTAACGTTTCACTCTTCAAAATCTGTACATCATCCTAAAATGACACTGAATATAAGGAAATCCATTTTTATTCATCTTTTCCAATTTATTTTTCTGTGTACTTTGTTGTGGACTCCTAAGTTACAAACCTCCACTATACTGGACTTCATGAACTGCCAGCATTTATCTACAGGTATGTCACAGCACCAGAACACAAAGAAGATCCAAGATACAGTCTGCACCTGTACATTAGCTGACCCATCTTCCAGAAATAGGAAACCTGTGATGCAAAATCTTTGAACAGTGGATCCACAGTTATCCAAACAATTAACTAGCATTGAAATAGAATGTTACTGAAAATACAAATATATTGCTTTTTCTTCAGATATATTCAACTGCTAACTACTAATGTAAGTTAGGTGCCAAGAATATATCCCAAGTTCAAAGCTTTATGTCAATAAAATTGGATATTGACATTATTGCTACTTAAACAATGGTAATCTTTGTTTTATTAGATCTGAGACCATATCCCTAGATATTGATCTATTTTGATCTATTTCCATTTCTGAGATACTTACTAGTGTCATAAAAAATATAGTAAAGTTGATTCATAATTTGGTAAAAGTCATAACAAAAGTTTAGGAAAACACACATGGCAATGTCCTGAAGCTTTCCCCTCCTAGCTGCAAACCAGCGTACATTTTGTTATGAAACTCATTTTCCAAATATCCATCAACAAACCTTGAACAATTTGTCCAAAACCAACATTTTAATAAACATTAGGTTTGACTCAGACTTCAAATATTGGTAATCTCCTCAAAAGCTGATGATTTATAGGAATAATTACATCGGATTTGGTTTAAATATATGTTTTAATATTCAATCCAGCTACATGAGAAGTCAACTGAGAATTGTTTAAGTTATTCTGTTCCAGGACTGAATACTGCCTGACCAGGATGAGACCAAAACGTAGCCTTTGTTGTTGCTTTTTCAATAAATTTAATGAGTTATGATACTAGCAATCACTTTACGAATTATCTTATTAGTAAATATATTATTTAAAAAACCAAAGATATCTTAAAGCAGGAGCCAACAAACTAAGTACCAAGCGATTGTTCTGTGATGGTATATAATGTTTGTTTGTCTAGTTCTGGCTTAAAATCATGTGAATCTGATGTGTCAATCCATTAAATAATTATTCATAATTAATTAGATTATTATTTATTTTATTACCTTTCCACATTTACTAAATGACGCAAGATTCTTAAAACATACCTCGCTATCATTTCCTGTGAATTATTTAAAATGACAGTTGTGTTATTACTCCTAAAATGTACCAATATACCTCCCCCACATGTAAATAATTTATGTTGTAACAAAAATATAAATATTGTTCTCATAATTAAGCAATACACTTTATTGCACTCCGTCCAATATTCCAGAAAGCCACTATTCTTCTCACATAGTTTTCGTATTCGATCCACATGGAATAAGGTAATTCAATTCAAGGTCCCATATCGCTTTATAGAAATGCTGAAATATTTAAGGCATGGTTTTATAGGCATTCATGTGAATTTATTTTGATATTTGGATATTGCATGATAGGCAATTGCTGACACTGACCATATTTCCGTTTGAATAAAAAAAATATTACTCCTTGACTATTTTTGCACTATTAACAGACACTGAAGGCCTTCAGATTGTGTTTTGAAACTTTAAAGTATCCTAAAACGTGTGACAAATTTAGGAATTTCTAAGAGCGAAGGCAACAATATCAACAACAAGGTTTGCTATTTCGGTCGACCTTAAGCGAAATCAGATCGCTGACAGATTTGTTTTGTGGTGCTTTATGGTATACCAACTCAATGCCAAGTAGTGACTAAAAACGTTAAGCAAAAAACAGTTTTGTAGCTTCAAGAATTGTCCGTGTTTGTAACACTTGCAAATTCATAAACTGCTATTTGTTGTCATCTATTGGTAATGATTTTGCACATGTGCGAAAGTGTGGAAATTCGTGCAATTTCTCACCTTCGAGCAGACGTAGGTTTCGTGAACGGTAGTGCCGACATTTAACTGATCGCCAGGCTTATCGCATTCCTTGATCCACCTCAAATCTTTTGTCTTGACCGTAATGGTTTTGATAAAGGTTCATATGAAATCGCAGCAATATGTAATAGATCTAGCGAGTGTGTAGGACATAATTCGAAGCACATCGCTTCGTAGTCATCGCTTGACCCCGGAAATAAGTCTGACAAATCAACAATACGCGCCCGGCCTGCTGATTGGCCAAAACTGACTCATGCGCCAGCTTTGATTGACAGGCTGGATCGGTCTATTCTCAAGTTAACATAACATTGAAAACAGGTGACATGCTCTGGTGCAGCTACATTGTAAGTGGCGAGTTGAAATATTCTCCTGCAGTTGCAAGTTTAGATGCCACGAGAGAGGACACGATTCACAGACGTTCCATCACATCCCGATCCCGTACGTTATTTGGGAATATACATGTGTCTATACATCATGAATACTATCTGCCACACCCATGAAGATCCGAATTACAATTGATCTTCAGCAACCCATGGTTGTTGTAAGAGGCGACTAACGGGATCGGATGATCGGGCCCGCTGACTTGGTTGACACGTGTCATCGTATCTCAATTACGTAGGCCGATGCTCATGATGTTGATCACTGGATTGATTTGATTATTTTCAGACCGCCGCCATAGAGCTTGAAGTGTGCCACGTTAATCAACAAACACACAAACCCGTTTTCATAACAAACTTTGTGCGTCATTGCTTAGACAGAAACAACAGAAGACGCTTACTGTCTGACTGAAATGCATAGTCTAACATGCTTTGGTCGATGCCCATTGTCATTGCAGCATTGTAACAAAGTCAAAATAGCAAGACATTGCTTAATCCCCGGGAACTGAACATGCATAAAACTAGTAGTAATGTTGGGCGATATGTAGACTGAGCAGCAAAAGTAACGTCAGTTTGGAATTTTCCTTCGCAGAAACGGATAACTGTAAACTCATTTAATGTCTTGATTGTATATGTTTGACAGCATCTCAACAATTTTACCTGAGCAAAGACATACCTTCCCAAACTCCGACTTGAACCCAGGAAATGGTCTCAAAAACGCAACCTGACCTCGGAGATGGTACGGTGTTCCCCATGTTCTTCATGCAACTCATGCTGCACTCATGCTGCACGTGCTGTTCACAAGGACCAGCCCTATAAAATGCACACCGAAACCTGGTTGAAACATTCTCATTACAACGTCAGCAGGATGCCGCGACTCACGACAGCTCAGAAGGACCAGGCGCTAGGAAGACTTGAAGCTGGCCACACTGCACAAGCCGTTGCCAATCACTTCCAGGTCAACGTTCGAACCATCTACAGGCTGCAGCAACGTTTCCGTGCCACCAACACCACAAATGATCGCCCCCGTACTGGCAAACCAAGGGTGACCACAAGACGACAAGACCGCCATGTTGTGCGACAGCATGTACAAAATCCCTTCATGCAGGCATGCGAAACAGCACGCCAGACAGTGGGAACACACGGAAGACCAATCAGTACTGATACAGTACGCCGACGTCTTAACAGCGGGGAACCTCCATTGCCGTAGACCTTACCGTGGACCTATCCTCACACCTCGTCATCGGCGTGAACGTCTACAGTTTGCCCTACAACACCAAAACTGTCGATACAGGCAATGGAGAAATGTTCTGTTTCCAGATGAGAGTCGGTACTGTGTATCAACTGCAGATGGCAGAACAAGAATATGGCGACGACGTGGCCAGCGTTACTCAGACCAATGTGTCATGGAAAGGGACTCATGGGGAGGTGCAGGCATCATGGTAAAGAGTGGGATAGGCCTGAACCAGAGAGTGGGTCCTGTGGTGTTTCAGAACCTTGGTCCAGGAAGAGAAGGCGGCATCACAGCGGTGCGTCACAGCGTTGCTACATCGGCCAACCTCTCTGATCCCACGTCATACCACATTTCACACGTCACCGGAACAACATTTTCCAGCATGATAACGCCTGGGCCCATACTGCCAGAGCTACAGGGGAATTCCTACAGCAGAACGGTTTCCACATTATGCAGTGGCCAGCCGTTAGTCCTGATTTAAACTCAACTGAACATCTTAGGGATGATTCAGAGGAGACTGAATGATGTCATACCAAGGCCGAACACAGACCTTTCTCAGAGCGTGGTTCAAGGTGCCAATGGCCTCCATCAATTGAATGGTGCACTCCATGCACAGACGCTATGCTGCAGTTATTGTCGGTCGTTGTGTTCATACAAAATACTGAAGTCAAGAGTCTGAATGGACTGCAAGCGTTCACGTACGTAATGTCTTGAAATTATGCTAAGTTATTCATTGATGTGTCAAAATATTGTACAGAAAAATGTTTTTGATCCGCTTATTATGTCCATTTCTGTAATGATTTGATTACAGTATCTATCTAATTTTGAATTCGTACTGGCGTTTTTCTTGCTGCTGAGTATATTTCTTTCTCGAGATCCGTAACCTCCTGTATGCCATTTACAGTCCACGCTGCATAATCTGTATGATTCCAGATACAGTGTATTGATATATACTGGGTGCATTAAGCAAACAACATGACATGCGGCCGTGTCATGTTTCATAGATAATGCTGCCATACAATCCGTCATTCCTGTCTGTCAGAGCGCAAAGTGAACAGTGTCTGTGTTTCTCAGAGTGGAACGTGAACAGTGCCTGTGTCTGTCAGACTGCAATAAGAACAGTGTCTGTGTCTGTCAGAGTCGAAAATGAATGATATCTATCTGTCAGAGTGCAAAGTGACCAGTGTCTGCGTATGTCAGAACGAAAAGTGAACAGTGTCTGTGTCTGTCAGAGTTCGAAAAGAACAATGTCTGTGAGATAATGCTGCCATACAATCCGTCATTCCCGTCTGTCAGATCGCAAAGTGAACAGTGCCTGTGTCTGTCGGACTGCAATAAGAGCAGTGTCTGTGTCTGTCAGAGTTAAAAAAGAACAATGTCTGTGAGAGTGCGCAGTGAACAGTGTCTGTGTCGGACATAGTGCAAAGTGAACAGTGTCCGTGTCGGACATAGTGCAAAGTGAACAGTGTCCGTGTCCGTCAGAACGAAAAGGGAACAGGGTCTGGTCTGTCATAGCACAAAGTGAACAGTGTCTGTGTCTGACAGTGCAACGTGAACAATGTCTGTGTCCGTCAGAACGAAAAGTGAACAGTGTCTGTGTCTGTCAGAGTTCAAAAAGAACAATGTCTGTGAGAGTGCACAGTGAACAGTGTCTGTGTCTGTCATGATGCAAAGTGAACAGTGTCTGTGTCTGTCAGAGTTAAAAAAGAACAGTGTCTGTGTCTGTCATAGTGGAAAGTGAACAGTGTCTGTGTCTGTGAGAGTGCACAGTGAACAATGTCTGCGTATGTCAGAGCGTAAAGTGAACAGTGTCTGTGTCTGTCAGAGCGCAAAGTGAAAAGTGTCTCTGTCATAGTGCAAAGTAAACAGTGTCCGCTTGTGACCTATATGTCTACCTATATGTGAGCAACCCACTATATTTTCTGAAATAATAATTTTATGCATTACATATCACACATGAACGGGATAAACGGTTAATTCTTCGAACAAATCTGGATTGAAAAGGAAACAATTCCATAGTTTCCGATTCATCGAGACATCAACATAAAAGTCGATTGGTGTTGACATTTCATACAGAAGACTTGGATGTACAGGCAAATAATGCCAAGCCCATGACTCATATTGTTAACTGTGTGTATTCTACAGTTGATGTTTTTTTTTATCCATAGATAAGTCTCAAAACTGCATTTTAATTAAAATACATATTAAATCTGTAAATATACGTTCTGTGGCGCATTCCAACATAGGCTGCAGTCTACGTACAGCACCCGGTATACTGAGTATCAACAGAGTTATGTTGTTACAACAATGTTCACTAACCACATACTTTCATTCGCGTGTTTAACAGTGTTTGCAATGTCAAGGTAACTAGGGTATTTGAGCCGGGTTGTTTATCGACAATAAAACATCCTGGTCTGACATAAACTGGTATCTCATTCCGAATCAGGTTCTCTGCATGGTCGACAGGGTGCCTTATATTGAAATGTGGCTATTGGTCCGTGTCGTACCCAGTGTTACAGCATAATAACGACACAAGCTTAAGTCAGCGGTGAATACAGCCCACACGAGGGCTGCCAATGGCTGGGACAACGACGTATTATATGGACGTGTAAACGTAGATCGGGTCCTACAGAAGTGACAGTTTTAGTCGTGAGGGGTGGATCAGTAATCTTGTCACTGGAGATGAAAAGGCCATTTGGGCAATACGCAAGCTGAAATCCACAGTTACAACTGGTATATATCCTCACTGTGTTGACATGGATGTTCCACTTACAGTCGTGTTGTTCGCCTGCGGATGTATTACATATACAGTGGGTGAGTTGAAGCTTATCCTGGTTAGATATTGATTTCTTTCAGGTACAATTTCAGCTACCATGTCATGGCTTTGATCATGAGGAGTGTTCGAATATGTTTAATTACATGTAAGAGTAAGTTGAGTAAAACTTCCTTATTTCGGGTTTTGTTTGCATTTTTCTTGTATCACAAACACAATGACGAATAACTCGCAAGTACATGCAGTCTGGTTGTCGCATACTATGAATAAACAAGACATCGAAACAGCGGAAGTGGCCACTCATCAATACTTACTGACACACAACACATTAATAATATAGTGTAAAGTAGCAAGCCTTTGGCGAGCACAATGCAGTTTGTGCTTTATTAATGTATTATAGTTACAGGTATACACACCGAGCTAGTAATGCCGCTATCATCAACTGTCATCCGAAGAAAATGTGAAATTTAAGCAATATTCTCATTGACTAAATATTGCCGTGAAACTCCCAAGGCCACACGCCCAATAACAAAACTTCCTGTATGTTTATAAAAACATTTATACAAGATTGAAAATCCTAGTAGCATCCACACGTTGTGCACTCACTCACTCACTCACTCACTCACTCACTTAGATCACTCACTTACTCACTTAGATCACTCACTCACTCACTCACTCCATATATGTTGTGTCGATCTGGTGTTTGGCAGCTATTTACCGTCACAAAGAACATCACTCACTCACTCACTCCATATATGTCGTGTCGATCTGGTGTTTGGCAGCTATTTACCGTCACAAAGAACATCCAGGTCTGCTTCCCCATATGATAGAGATTGTGTAGTCTGTAATAAATCTTCCCCTGTTCAGTGCAAGTTATCATTACTTGGAAAAACACAAATTTTGGCTGCGGTCACGGAGACTTTGATGGTAAAACAATCGCCATACTGTCACAGTTTAGTCTTGAATGTGCTCGCAATGTGTTTCATCACCAATCTTCTCGGAAAACGAGTAACCAGGCAGCTGACATCAGTGTAAATGGGTTTATTTACCACAAATCAAGGTTGTTAAGACAATTCCTATTCAAATTAGGAAACAAATGTCAGCATTTCCGTGCATCCAATGACTCAAAATAATACGTGAATCTGAAAACCAACAATGTTTATCGAGATTGTAAAATACAAATGAATTAGTCTATTTCTCAAGCACTGTGTCTACTGATCTCCAGCGGTTGTGAGACATACAAGCCTACTGGAATGACGTTTGTTATTTGCTACAGGTTCCTCCACTCTGCAGCTGACAAGTTATCCATCAACAGCATCACCAGGCCAGCCGTACACCTTGATGTGTAGCAGTAGTGGCAGCAGTGGCAGGAGTAGAGAGTGGTACTGGAGGAATGATATAATCTTCCGTACACGTTATGTGTCAGACACACAATGTGCACTAGATATAGTTAACAATGACAAATATACTGAGTATCTGTCAGGACGTGTCAATGTCAGCTGCAGTAACAACCTGTACAATGTGACTCTCAGGGTGAACACTTCCATAGATAATGGATCTGTCTGGTGGTGCGTGGATAGTGAGGGTAGTCAGCAGAGCAACAATTGGACGATACGTGAGTGTGCTGTGCTTTGTTTATGTAAATAATCCGTGTTGTGTTGAAGCAAACTAATGCGCTATTGAGAAACGTGTATTGACTGTACAGAATACGGCCGCCCGCATCATGTATGCGGTAAAAATCATGTCGCATTACTCCAGTCCTCAAATCACTTCATTGGCTCCCAATTGAATCACGTATCAACTCTAAAGTTCTCTGTACTGTCTACAAATGCCTCCACAACCAAGCCCCATCCTACCTCACTGACTTGATCGCTGTATACACACCAGCCAGAACTCTTCCATCTCAGAACCAGCTCCTACTTACTGTACCAACTTTCCGACTTTCCTCATTTGGTATACGATCGTCCTTTCCCGCAGCCCCAAGACTATGGAATTCATTGCCAGTCCACATCAAGGACTCTGATTCTCTGACAGCTTTCAAATCACGACTTAAGACTTACCTTTTCTCCTCTGTATATAACTGACTCTCTCCCTCTTCCCCCCCGTGCTTTGAGCATGTACTAGTGTGTGGATTATAGCACATAACAAATGTCCATTACTATAATTTATTATATTATTAAACACGACTGTAAGTGGAAGAAGCCTAAACAATCTACCAATCAAGGTCAAGGTAGACTGGAGAGCAACAGATGGACGATACGTGAGTATGTTATGACTGGTCTGAGTGACTAAACACCTTTACGAGACACCTGTGTAATCGTATAATCAAACACGAGTGGAAGTAACCTGTAAGACAAACTACTTTCATTTGATTAATGTTAGATCTTAATTTTACATGATACTGAATTACTGACAATATATACTTCAGTTTTAAAGTAGACGACTACAGTACTATATGTATACGCGAAAGCCTGATGTCCATACCACTCTGAGCAATATGAACCTTTAACAATTTAGAAACCTCGTCAGTACTCCTGGGTAGGCCTATACAGTGCTGGGTATCGATGATCTGTCCCTGAATGACGAAGGCCGGGTTTTGAAACACATCTGACCGAATATTTCTCATCTTCATAAGACCCGTGAAGATCCGGGGTAGAATAGGGCTTCAGCAACGCATGCTTGCCACAAAAGGCAACTATGCTTGTCGTAAGCGGCGGCTAACGGGATCGGATGGTCAGGCTTGCTGACTTGGTTGACACATGTCATTGGTTCCCAATTGCGCAGATCGATGATCATGCTGTTGATCACTGGATTGTCTGGTCCAGACTCGATTATTTACAGACCGCCGCCATATAGCTGGAATAGTTCTGAGTGCGGCGTAAACCTCAACTCACTCACTCACTCATCATCATCATCATAATTTGAGAGAGATTCACATATATAATTCAATTCACTACCAATGTAACTACAACCTCCAAATTTTCTTTACATTACATTTACGGATAACACACGACTGATGTTATAATTTGGTTGAAAATTATCACTGCACAACTAAACTGTGAAAAGTGTTGAAATGTGATGAGCACTTATAATTGAATGAATCTACTTTTCTGTCGTTAAGGCCTCACACTGTTGTAAACGTCACAGAATGTAAACTAATTAGTTTGTGAATATATGTAAAATCTCAAAAACGCAGCATGAACATTTTCTGAATGTATCTGGAACCGAAAATGTTTAGACAAGGGTTTAGACATGCTAAGATAATTTGCTTCCTTATCCAGTAGTTATATTGTACTATACACACGCACTCTAGGGTAGAAGACAAAAATAGTTGGAAGTATTATCATGGCATCAACACCAATACCTATTACTTCAAATGCCTTTGCATGTAGATGTAGCAATAGAAGAATATCTAGCACTTTAATGGGGCATTTTCTTTATTCAAAACTATTATCAAGGCATGATTATGAGATTGGTCAAATAATTTGCAGCACATAATCTGTTATACTAAATGTACAAAGTACTTGATAACTACAACAAGTTCAGCTTCACGCGTACAAATACAATCACACAACGGTTCTATTCTGACTTCACGCTCGGTTTTAAACACGGTCAACGTCTCTCCATGAACGGTAACGACTATGTAGTGAGATCATTGCCCATTTCATTGCAAAATAAGCACAATCCCTATGTTAACTAATGTGTGACGTTGATTCTGAGTGGCTGTTTACAAATGACGCTACACGTTATCCACGAACTGACATTTCCACCATTTCCACCACTTAGTCAATATCCCGGTGTTAATGTAATAACTATGACGCAACCTTTCAGACGTATCAACAACTACTACATCAACTACAACTGCTGCAGCTAGTACAGCTACATCAACAACAATTTCGGCCACAGCTATTACATCCCCGTCTGATATGACGGGAAGCAGTTCTCCCCACGAAGGAGGTGAGATGCTATAATCGTGTCTTTACATCCGATGGAACCTTTTTACCAGGTCAGGAGCATGGCTCGTTTCTCTCTAGCTTTTCTATAAACAGTGAGGTGGGTTTACGTAGATAACAAGCTTCCTTTTTATTTCAACATACGTAGCATTGGATCAACGATGACCTCCACAACAACCTTTACAACAACTACTGATGAAGTCGGTAATAAATTCTCTTCTGTGACCTTGATGGGTTTTTTTGTGCTTTTTTGTCCCAGGTATACATACAGGTTGACATGTGTGAAGGTATACAGTTCAATATGTACGTGTAAGGTTGATAATACTTCAGTATAATTTTCAATAACATTGTTACATGTACACTGAGATAATTGACTTACTCAACGGTTCTGAATAGCATGTATAAACTGGACCGTAGTTTTAGGAAGTAGGGTCCCTGGTCAAGATTAATGTATACATATTTTGTGGCATTATAATATTGTATAATTTGTCTCTTGATGTATGACATAATTGGAATGATACCTTTCTTACTACAATTGTATATAATATTTTTGACGAAAATAATTATCGGATTTAATGCATAGTTATGCTCTCGTTTAATCCCAAACATTACCTGGCAGTCAGTAAGACTCAATTCTCCGTCTACAGTTCTGAGCCATATTTTCATTTCACGCCATATGCTTTCCACCATGTCACACTCCCAGAAGATATGATCAATTGTTTCGTCATGATCGTTACAAAGGTACATTTAGGGCTATCCACATAGGTGATTTTGTAGAGGAAATGTTTCACTGGCAATATTCTGTGAATGGTTATGTACTGCAACCATCCTAACTCAGTACTTGGAGTACATATATTTGCGATCGAGTTGAAGCATGTCCAGTCAAAGTCCGAGTAGTGAAAACCACTGACGTGTTCCCACTTGTCATAGCAGGGGAGTTTAACAAACCGTGAATCAGCTAGCATATCATATACTTTCTGATGTCACAGGCGACTGTATGTATATTTCATTATATAGGGATACACAGGATTACATAATTTACCTCCGGATAAACTAATGCCTATGGAATTTGCATAACATAAAACTGCTCGTTTAAGGCCCTCATATTTAAGAAAGTATGTGATTTGGTTCCTCCATTGTAATGTTCCCAATGTAATTTGGGGGCGATGGGGTAGCCAAGTGGTTAAACGTTGGCCTGTCACGCCGAAGACCCGGGTTCGATTCCCCCCGTACATGGGTACAATGTGTGAAGCCCATTTCTGGAGTCTCCCGCCGTGATATTGCTGGAATATTGCTAAACGCGGCGTGAAACCATACTCACTCACTCACTCACTCACAATGTAATCTGCTGACAATACAGTTTGAAGTTCGACATGTATGAAACAACACAAACAAATAGTTTCACGATTACTCTGACGCCGTTGTTTTAATGGATATAAAGTAATCAATGATTCAATAATGTTTTCAGTTCTATTTCATGATAGTGACACTCACATATCTCGTGTCACTTCAGGTAAAGTTTCTTTCTACTCACATTCCTTCTATGTGTCAGATGCCAGAAGGTTTAAGTTACACTCTGTGATACTTTAGTTGTTTATGTTCTAATTCGATTTCTTTTAATGAATGAATTGTTCAAGTCACAATATGTCAGAATTATTGCCGATGTGACACCAAAGACTCACTCACTCGGACAATAATACTGATGAGTTTGATACATCTATATGAACCACCTGCGTGATTAGTTGGTGGGTTGGTTTGTTGTCTAACCACACAATCAGTATATGGCGGCGGTCTGTAAATAATCGGGTATGGGACAGACAATCCTGTGATCACCAGCATGAGTATCGATCTATGCAATATGGATACTATAGCATGTGTCAGCGAGCCTGACGACCCGACCAATTCTAACCCGGATCTTCACAGGTCCAAATGCATGAATATGAGGCCGGGGATGTTTTCCAATCAGATAACTTTCACCCTTATATATCATCGGACATACCTTTTTGCAGGGAGTACGTTGAGTTACATTTCTTTACAGGTGCAGGTAATGAAGTTGTCTACATTGCTGCTGGTGTAGGGGGAGGTGTTGCAGTCACCATTGTCGTCGTCGTCACTGTTCTGTGTATACGAAGACAGAGACGACGTTCTGTCAGTAAAAGTAAGGAACACACCACCCTTTTCAACGCAACAATACTCGATGTTCTGATACAAGCTGTAGTTTGCTTCAAGATAATATATATCGGTTTGCAATGAAACAGACTTACTGTCACAGGAGCAAACCCTTATTGTTCTGGGAAATGATTACTTCACATCGTCTTGTGGGAGACAAATCATATCCTATGCACACTGATTTCGTTACAGCCAGGACGTGTGACCACAAGAACGGGCAATCACATACCTACTACAATGAGTAAGTAATCTCCAGTATAAAATGCTTCATGGTGTTTAGGGATACGTGTTTAACACAAAGTCGGAATGGTGCAATAGACTGGTTGGGGCGGAGATTTGTTATGAGTATAAAAATGTTTAAGTGGCTTGTTAATTACTTCCATGAGATATTTAATAATTTGCAGAACAGAAACCTATCGGATTCAGTGTGATGGCTGTTACGCCGCTTTCAGCAACATTCAAGCAACATCACGACATAGAAACATATCAGATTACATGTACATATTTGAAGCAAGGTTATAGTCTAAAAGATAAGAGTATATTGTATGATTTGTCTGTTGTTTTTCTTAAATGATAACAAAATGTATTTCAGAGATCATGACTTACAAGGACAAGACATCGACGACAAAATTGTCGGTAAGATCATACTATTATGTTATGTCTTTTTTGCTCAGGCGGCGATAGTTCTGTTTATATTTGGAATATACAATAGATCATCTTTATGTAAGTGTCTCATACTGCATAGCATGATAGCAACATGCTGATTTGTGCAGTGACCGGTGAAATATGGACCAGCGGTGTATATCAATGGTGATATATTGACCTGTCCATTGACCGGAGTAATATGGACCAGAGATGTACAGGAATGGTGATATCTTGACCTATCTATTGACCGGTATAATATGATCCAGAGATGTACAGGAATGGTGATATATTGACCTGTCCGTTGACCTGTATAATATGATCCAGAGATGTACAGGAATTGTGATATACTAACCTGTCCGTTGACCGGTATAATATGATCCAGAGATGTACAGGAATGGTGATATATTGACCTGTCCGTTGACCGGAATAATATGGACCAGAGATGTACAGGAATGGTGATATATTGACCTGTCCGTTGACCGGAATAATATGGACCAGAGATGTACAGGAATGGTGATATATTGACCTGTCCGTTGACCGGAATAATATGGACCAGAGATGTAAAGGAACGGTGATATATTGACCTGTCCGTTGACCGGTATAATATGGACCAGAGATGTATAGGAATGGTGATATATTGACCTGTCCGTTGACCGGAATAATATGGACCAGAGATGTATAGGAACGGTGATATATTGACCTGTCCGTTGACCGGTATAATATGGACCAGAGATGTACAGGAATGGTGATATATGTTCACCTGTCCGTTGACCGGAATAATATGGACCAGAGATGTACAGGAATGGTGATATATTGACCTGTTCGTTGATCGGTGTAATATGGTCCTGCAATGTATAGTAAAATGTAACTACAGATATGCTTATTGCTGTTGTTATCATATATATTAAACGCGTGAATGCATATCCCTGTTCAATATTTTCTTTTGGGTATTACAGTTGAAAATGATATTTATGAGACTTCAAATGACGTCACATCACCCAAGCAGCCTTCAACAAATGACCATGTGATCACAGGTAAGGAATTCACCTATCACTAACACACCAGCTTATTATCTTACGATCCCTACAAACAATATCACCAGCAACAATTTTAAAATTAGTTTGCAACCCAAGAATTCAACCTCAAATTAACACAAAACAAAACACACGCAACAACAACAGAATACTAATTCAAAAACCAGTCCCCTTTATTCTACTGATGCTACCATGTGACTACGTGATTATCTGGATATTATGAGAAACGTCCATCTGGTTAGAACATATTGCATCAGAGTCTAATATTTGACATAAAAGCACATTTTGAACATTTTCAACTCAATTTTCCTTAAATACTGATAATTACGACTTCCTTGCTATTACATCCCTGTGTTGTGAAGGATGTAGCGTGCACGCCAGACAGCGAGTATTGCATATTGTTTAGCTGTTTAGTCTGAGTATTGCATATTGTTTAGCTGCTTAGTCTGAGTATTGAATATTGTTTAGCTGTTTAGTCTGGGTATTGTCATATTGTTTAGCTGTTTAGTCTGGGTATTGTCAACTTGTTTAGCTGTTTAGTCTGGGTATTGCCATATTGTTTAGCTGTTTAGTCTGAGTATTGTCATATTGTTTAGCTGTTTAGTCTGGGTATTGCCATATTGTTTAGCTGTTTAGTCTGGGTATTGCCATATTGTGTAGCTGTTTAGTCTGGGTATTGCCATATTGTTTAGCTGTTTAGTCTGGGTATTGTCATATTGTTTAGCTGTTTAGTCTGGGTATTGCCATATTGTTTAGCTGTTTAGTCTGGGTATTGCCATATTGTTTAGCTGTTTAGTCTGGGTATTGCCATATTGTTTAGCTGTTTAGTCTGGGTATTGTCATATTGTTTAGCTGTTTAGTCTGGGTATTGCCATATTGTTTAGCTGTTTAGTCTGAGTATTGTCAACTTGTTTAGCTGTTTAGTCTGGGTATTGTCATATTGTTTAGCTGTTTAGTCTGGGTATTGTCAACTTCTTTAGCTGTTCAGTCTGGGTATTGTCATATTGTTTAGCTGTTTAGTCTGGGTATTGTCAAATTGTCACACCAACTTGAAATGTACAAAGAAATAGCAGAGATTATATTTTCTCAAATTGTGTGTGACCTTATGTAGATTTTAATTCAGCTGTTTAAATTGTATCCATACCAGATAATGTGATACCTTTAACTTTATGTCAATCAATTTGATCGACTGAGAGTGTGCTGAAGACATGTGAAACATCTTTGTTACTGTTGTACTGATGTGTTCCTGGTTGGCAGTGAATGTGTTCAACTGAAGAGTAACAGTTACTTAGTATTATAGTCAACAAGCATTGTAATATGTAATTGTTACTTCTGTATTTCAAGTATAAACCTATCATTTTCCTTCAGATCTTTACGCACAAGTGCAGAAACACAAGAAAAGTAAGCCAGGGCCTACAGTTAAACCTAACGACACCAGTGTGGAGGATCTGTACGCCAAGCCTGACAAAACAAAGAAACGCAAAGACTAATGGAAGTACATTTGTGAATCATCAGGAAATGTTGAAGATACACAGAAAGTAAATGTCATAGTGTCCCCAATATAGGTCATGAACGGGTGGAATTTGACTTGACAATGTGTTTTTGTAGCCAAATGAATATAATTACGCATGTGGCAAGTGACTATTTCTGTGTTCTTTCAGAGTTTGGAATGAGTGTGCTCGAAATGGACAGTCAAGTGAAATGCCACAATTCAGAATACGGAATATACTGTAAATACATTCCTCAGCTGCAGCAGAGTATGACTGGTGTAATGTCTTCATTGTAAAGGTTTGTTGTGGACTTACAAATATATGTGAAGTGAAGTGAAATTAGGTTTAACGTCGTGCTTGAGAATATTTCGACAACAACGAGCCAATTTGAATCAACTACCTGGTGTTTATATGACAATAACAAGCCAATGTGAATCAACTACCTGGTGTTTATATGACAATAACAAGCCAATGTGAATCAACTACCTGGTGGTTATATGACAATTACAAGCCAATGTGAATCAACTACCCGGTGGTCATATGACAATAAAAGGCCAATGTGAATCAACTACCTGGTGTATATATGACAATAACAAGCCAGTGTGAATCAACTACCTGGTGGTCATATGACAATAACAAGCCAATGTGAATCAACTACCTGGTGGTTATATGACAATAACAAGCCAATGTGAATCAACTACCTGGTGGTTATATGACAATAACAAGCCAATTCGAATCAACTACCTGGTGTTTAAATGACAATAACAAGCCAATGTGAATCAACTACCTGGTGTTTATATGACAATAACAAGCCAATGGGAATCAACTACCTGGTGGTTATATGACAATAACAAGCCAATTCGAATCAACTACCTGGTGTTTATATGACAATAACAAGCCAATGTGAATCAACTACCTGGTGTTTATATGACAATAACAAGCCAATGTGAATCAACTACCTGGTGTATATATGGCAATAACAAGCCAATGTGAATCAACTACCTGGTGTATATATGACAATAACAAGCCAATGTGAATCAACTGCCTGGTGTATATATGACAACAACAAGCCAATGTGAATCAACTACCTGGTGGTTATATGACAACAACAAGCCAATGTGAATCAACTACCTGGTGTATATATGACAATAACAAGCCAATGTGAATCAACTACCTGGTGTTTAGATGACAACATCAAGCCAATGTGAATCAACTACCTGGTGGTTATATGACAATAACAAGCCAATGTGAATCAACTACCTGGTGGTCATATGACAATAACAAGCCAATGTGAATCAACTACCTGGTGTATATATGACAATAACAAGCCAATGAGAATCAACTACCTGGTGTTTATATGACAATAACAAGCCAATGTGAATCAACTACGTGGTGGTTATATGACAATAACAAGCCAGTGTGAATCAACTACCTGGTGTTTATATGACAACAACAAGCCAATGTGTTTATATGACAATAACATGCCAATGTGCATCAACTACCTGGTGTATATATGGCAATAACAAGCCAATGTGAATCAACTACTTGGCGTATATATGACAATAACATGCCAGTGTGAATCAACTGCCTGGTGTTTATATAGGGTAATAACAAGCCAATGTGAATCAACTACCTTGTGTATATATGACAACAACAAGCCAATGTGAATCAACTGCCTGGTGTTTATATGACAATAACAAGCCAATGTGAATCAACTGCCTGGTGTTTATATGACAATAACAAGCCAATGTGAATCAACTACCTGGTGTATATATGGCAATAACAAGCCAATGTGAATCAACTACTTGGCGTATATATGACAATAACATGCCAGTGTGAATCAACTGCCTGGTGTTTATATGACAATAACAAGCCAATGTGAATCAACTACCTTGTGTATATATGACAACAACAAGCCAATGTGAATCAACTGCCTGGTGTTTATATGACAATAACAAGCCAATGTGAATCAACTGCCTGGTGTTTATATGACAATAACAAGCCAATGTGAATCAACTACCTGGTGTTTATATGACAATAACAAGCCAATGTGAATCAACTACCTGGTGTTTATATGACAATAACAAGCCAATGTGAATCAACTACCTGTCGGTTATATGACAATAACAAGCCTATGTGAAGTGTATGCTGAAATTCGTATGAAAGAAAAACTATTCTAACCAACTTTATAAACGTGTTGACAGGCGTGCCTGAAAGTGTACTTGTCCCACTTTTGCAGAGCACTTATTGTACAGTCAATACCTGTCACTTATGCTCAACTGAAACATTTCTTTCAGCTTTTAGCTTATAAATGTTCATGTCCCCACATTCAGACATGTGTAGGAATGTCTTGTATGTCAGTGAAATAACCCACAGTTGTTTCACCGTCTAGTCTGGCCACCTGTAACAATACATAGTTTACAGTCGGGTGCGATGGGTTACCGTGACACGATATGAGCATTATCCTGTTGTTAGACGTGGTGCGGCGTTGAAACTATTGTTGAATATCATTTCCTGGGCGGGGAAAACAAACTCGTTTTACCTGTTTCCGCATGCTTGACAGGAGCACAGCCGAGTTGCATAAGCAGGGTTGAGTCGATATACAGATTGTGTACGTCCTATCAGCAACTGCGTAACTCTCCAGGGACATACACAGAGGCTGTTGATATATTTGTGGTAGGAGTGACTGAGTGCGTGAGTATTGCTTTACGCCGCTTTTAGCAACATTCCAGCAATATCACGTCGGGGGACACATGAAATGGGCTTCACGCATTGTGCCCATGTGTGGAATTGAACGCGGATCTTCAACGCTTCAAGTACTAAGCTACACAACTGCGCCTGGTTGGTTGGAGCTGCTTCCCTTAGAACAACCAGCCAAAACGTCGATGTTTCACTCACTTATCCAACCATTTATTATTCCCCTGAGAGGGTACGTAAGTCCCAAAACATTTAAAGCAAATTAAACTTACTATGATTTTGACTGCAGGATATATGCTATTTTAATATCATGGTAGACCGTCAAAAATTGCTGACAGCTGAAGGGATGGTATAAATCCAGCTAAGGTCCATGCAGGTAGCAAAAGTCCCACGGTCCCTAGTATGGTGATCCACCTTCAGTTGTTGGCAATCTATAGCCTGTTTTTATATTGTATTGTCATGCATAGTTAAAATGTTTTAGTTTATATTACTAGTTTTACATTTATATATCTCACTCGCTCACTTATCCAACCTGAAATATTTTCATCTTGGGACCCCGTGCACTCGGAGGTTATACAAAATATTTGGGTTGACCCAAACAATCTCAAAAAGGAAAGAAACTGTTGTCCCCCCGAAAGATTTATGTCATGTACAAAATCAATGACGACCCCCTAGTTCATGTGTGTACAAAATAGGTGAAACCCACCTTAGATTCAAACCCCCACCCCGCACCCCAAAAAATAAATACAAAAAACAAAACCAAAACACACACACACACTCTCTCTCTCTCTCTCTCTCTCTCTCTCTCTCTCTCTCTCTCGCTCTCTCACACACACACACACACACACACACTCTACCCTAGCCATAACGTATGAACCGTCCCTAAATATGAGAGCGTAGCATTGTCATACCTGTTGCCCAATAGAGAGTGAACCGAGCTGTGACGAGTCACCCTTCACGTGGCTGGCAGGTGTATAAGTATATACTTATATATACCTTCCATGTAAAATCCCTTCAGCTGACCTATCAGATTCCACTGTCAAATCACCCGTGAAGATCCGGGTTAGAATTTGTCTTATCGCAAAAGGCGACTAACGGGATCGACTTGTCAGGCTCGCTGATCACTGGATTGTTTGGTCCAGACACGATTAGGGACCGTTCATAATTAATGGCTTAGGAGGGTGTGATGATGATTTTAAAGGGGTGGGAGGTTGGGGTGTTCACCAGCTTTGTTGTGGGGAGGAGGGGAGGTCATAAATGTATCAAGTTTGTACACCAGCACGGGGATGGGTGGGGGTGGGGGTGGGGGTGGTGTGTGTTTGTGGTTAGCAATTTTGTACATTAAAACATTAGAAGTATTTGCATCAAAATTATGGGGAGGGTGGGGGGGTCATTGATTTAGAACATTACATGCGGGGGACTTACTTTGTGCATAGATTGGGGGGAGGCATTCACATTATACATGCTTCTCCATACAAATCCTCATTAAACCCCAACCCCCCACCAACAGCCATAGCTAATGAACGGTCCCTTATATGCCGCCGCCAAATAGTTGGACTATTACTGAGAGTGTGAACAACAATTCAACCAACCAACCTTTTTATGCATTTGCCTCAAACAAGATGGCGCCTTCCAGTCAAGTCTTCTGTAATGAATATCCTCATCGTGAGAAAACAGTCTTACCTGGTGAAGTGCATATGATAACTTCACCGTGTTGATTGGATACCTGAGAACATTTCCGAGTCTTAGCGGAGGCCCAGTTGGCGGGCTTGTCAAATCCGGAACTGTTCGACAGTAGCTATGCTGTTTTCGAACTTCGTTTCTCGATTTGGATTGGGTTTTGCACGAACTTGTTAGTTCAGCCGAAATATAACTCCATTTTTCCAGCCTAGTTCAGCAAGGTTGAAAATTAAACTTTTTACTTTCAGTAACTCCATAGCCTCGTGAGTGAGTGAGTGAGTTTGTACGCCGCTTTTAGTATTAATTTATCCAGATCACCCTGAGACACGCCGAGCATAGGCGTTAATGAAAACAACGAAAATAACTACAATAAGTTATTAATGTTATTATTTATGAAAGCGAATTAAATTTACCTCTTTCTTTGTCTCAAGCTACGTTTCGTTTGAGTGATACCGACATTTGTAATTCATTATTTGGCAACAGTCTACCTTAATGTAAGAATTTGAGTTTTTGTACAATTCTTTTTCGAGATTAAAAAATCACGCAGTCACACCCTGACTTCATGACTTGACCTTATTACCAGGGAGATATTATCACTCTCGTTAATATATTGTCATATCATTCACTACGAATTTCATGTACTCATGAATATTCATCGAAACGTTCAACATAATGTTAATTACACTATTACAGTATCAGTGAAGCTTAAACGAACTAAAAACTACTAAAACTAAACAAAAGCCATGACATAGAGACCTGGACATATGATAGAGTATTTATTAAACAGAGTCATGGGCACGTAAGCACACGCACTTACGCGGACACATACACACAGGATGATCGCTGAATGCCGAACTGTGGTACTTCGTGTTAGTAGTGTTTTGGTTGTTGTCGTCATTGGCTAATTTCATAACTCTGGTACCCCTTATTGCGATCTGATACCTGTGCTTCAAACAATTCAAAATTAACATTGAGGTGTTTGGTAAGATAAACACGTTGTTCACTGGTCCCTCAGGGCCCATGGGTTGATGTACCCTCTATGTTTGTTTATGTTCCCCTCGCCGTTCTGGTACATCAACCCATGTCCCCCTCGTGACCAATAGGGCTGCGCAATAAACTGGTTTACGGGTATTTACCGGTTCAGACGTGAAAACGATACGTATTGCAATACGCTGATCGAAACCGGTATTTTGACTTGCATTCGGAAAACTTCGTAACACTCGGAAATGTTCGGATATGTCCTTGTTTCATTTGTGCCAAATATTATTCACATGTTTATTTTATCATGATTAAAAGTTGTTATTAAAGCTTAATTTGTTGTTGTGTTTTTGCTCTATAAATCAAGAAATAACTCGATTATAAGTAGTTTTTGTAGAAAATAACTTCATGCAATATATTGCAATACATATCGCAGTACATGCTTTCGCATCGCAATATATCGCAATATGAGAATTCTCTGCAATACCCACCCCTAGTGACCAATAAACAACTTATAATGAAACACATTGTGGGCGCCACCCTTCACATATCATCAATGTAGTCAGATACTACCTCACGTTTTAAAGCAAGTCATCTACTATTGTTGGCACGGATCCATGGTGAGAGCATAGCAGTATAGTATAATGGGTCCAATGACATTTCATTTGTTTATCACAGCGAGACTAAATGAAGGCGTACAATAATTCCAATCTTAGAGTCCTCTTGAACTGCGTCACAGAGCATCCCCGTGTGTTACTCATCCAGGCTTATGGCTAATGTTGAACTCGCGGTGTCTGGTAGGGTCGGGCGTATTCCAAGTCTTCCAACATCACTGGGCGAGAGATGGTGCTAGGAGCACTCGTTGTTTTGTCCTTTGGCTCATCAAAATCTGGAAACATACATTAAAAAGGTGATATCATATATACACATTATAAGGAAAGAATCCCAACACTCAGTTAAAGGATCTCTCCCAGGGTGATTGGTAAGTTTGCCATATACATAATGGCCCTTCCGCAAACGGCAGGGGATACTTGGAAAATTGTTGTAACCTAACAAGAGATATGCATTACAGTAATATCTGTGTGATAATATTGAACGAATTGGGTTACCTGTTCACCAGTCTGCTCATGACTGGCACAT